TTATTTTTTTTCTATTTCCGAATTTATCTTTATGAAAAAAGTCGTTGCTATGTTACATTAATGTATGAATATGCAAACACACTTGTTTTTTCTTGTGACATTGTTTCTTTGAGTATGACAGTAGAAAATTGAAACATTATGTCTTTATCTTGAGGATATGTGGATAACAAAAATGTATTTTAAGAAAAAATAAATACAGAAATTTAGGTTCCATTGGACAATAACTGTTGGATGCGAATCCCGACCTGCCACGTGTCATGATCGAAAAGGTGAGATTGATTGAACACGCGGAGGGAATGTAGGAATTGACTCCAAAATATTCAGATCGGCAGTAGGGGTAGGACCTACATTGCCGAGCCTACCTAGTACAAAGTCCGTAACTATGTCTCTTCCGTACCCGACAACACGCCGCGATTTTAGGGTGTGTCAGAATCCCTGTCGGGCCCAGTTTCTATAAATAGAAACCCTAACCTTAAATGCAAGGTACGCAATCCTAAGTAGACTCGGCAAGTTAGCTCGGACCAGAACTAACTTGGTGCTAACTTTGTTTTGCAGGTCTCAAGAGTGTTCAAGGAAGGTACGGGACCGTTGGAGGTAGTTCGTCCTGAACGAATCGTATCCGAGCTCATCAATTTCTGGCTCAAACAATAACTGTTTTTTTAGTTCTTTAATTTAAAAATTGGTTTTTTAAAATATATATTTTATTATTTTGCTTTTTCACTCTACAAAAACTATTAAAATCTGTAAAAATTTTGAAAAGTAAAAAATAGATTTTGTTTTTAAAAATTAAGCTAAAATAAAAAAAAAGTTTCAGAATTTTTTTCCATTTCTTTTTATTTATTATTATTATTTTTTGGTAAAAAGGGTATCAATTAGAGCTGTTTGGGTGTATCATTTGAAATCTATCTTGTAAACTGACTTACCTTTTTTAAAATCTTCTTATTATTTTAATATTATAAATGATTTGTAAATATATTCTCTTTCCCTCTATTTATTTAACATATGAATTGAAAAATATAAATGTTAAGTTTTACCTTAAAAGAAAAGTTTAAATACTATTTTCCTCAAATTCATTTTGATCTCCATATTTTGAACTCATCATCTTTTTTGCCTTAACTCCTTGAGTTATGTTTGATTTGACTGATATTTGTAATTTTAACTTTTGTTTATTTTAATAATTATACTTTCAAAACATCTGATCTTTGTCCGTATATTTTAAAAAAGTGACAAACTTTTATTCTTATTTGTAAAATATTAACATAAATTTTATACCTAATGAACCATTTAATATAAATAAATATATTGGGTGGGATAAAAATAAAAATAAAGAAACAAAAATGGTCACCTTTTAAATAAGACAGAGACCAAAATGGACATTTCGAAACTACGGATATTAAAATGAATAAAAGTTAAAAGTATAGAAACCAAAATAAATCAAAACATGGACCCAAATAGTATTTAAATTTAAAGAAAACACTAAAATAACACATAATAACAATAAAGCACTATTTCCATATAGTACTCCCTTGTTTGTTTTCAAAACCATCTCTAAAACTTATCCTATCAAACAAATTTCCTCCATCAATTTCTTTATATTTTATTTATTTACTTTTTGGCAAAGGAACAAGTTCTTAAATTCTTACACATGGTTTGGTGCATGGCTTAGTACCTTGATTAATAATGAGTAGTACACTATTAATTATGCAATAAACAAAAGAAATAAAAAGAAAAAGAAAAATCAAGTGGCAATTCAGTAATTTGGCACCCAACAAGCATTTGAATATGTTTGAGAGAGAAAAAAAAAAAAAAAAGAAAAGTAAAGGCTGTGACAAAAGATTGGAGGACCCATTTGAAGTCAAAAGGATTTTTTCTCTCACAAACCCACTGAAGGAGGTTCCACCAAAAGTAGGCCTCTGCCACTCTTTTTCCTTTTTTCTTCCTCCTGCTCCTTACAGTTTGTGATTGAAGCCACTGCCAGGCCCACAAAACTGGGAGAGCAACGGAAAGAAGGAACTCATATCCTCAAACAGCAAAGAAAAGAGAACATGGATTCACAAACACATGGAATTATTGGGTTGACATCTTTTCACATTTTGCCCATTTCGGTTCTTTTTTCAGTTTTTTCTCTCTGCTGAGTGCTGATTCTTATCTTGCAATCTCTTCTGATGGTTTAATGGGAAGATCTGGCTCTGGGTTCTCTTGCCCGCTTGGTGTTCGATGAAATGCCTCCTCCACTCCATTGTTTTGGAGGTTCTATCAATGGGTTTCTTTACTTTTTTCTGTAATTGGGATTGAAATTTGAAGGACCCTTGATTCGTTTTTGAGTAACTTTCTCGGAGAACTTTTTGAGTTTCCTGGAAAATAGTTTCTGCAAATGGGTTTCTGGTTTCATTGCCATAGCTTCTAGCTAGACCTGATTATTCTCTCAACTTTGGGATTGGGAATCTGTTGAGTTACTATTCTATTCTATTGCTCATCGATCTCATTGGGAAGCTGATTKATTGTCTGCGGGTTCTCTTCTCCAATGGGCAAGAAGAAGGGGTGGTTTTATTTAGTCAAGAGGCTATTTGTTTCAGAGGAACAGCCAAAGCCTGAGAAGGTAAAGATGGACAGATATCCTGCTTGATTTTTTTAACATCTCTTCAACTAATTGTTCATGCCAATAAATGTTTGTTTTTTCAGAAGCAGAAGAGATGGAAATGGGTGTTTGGAAGGCTAAAGAACAAGAGATTAGTCACACTGACAGCGCCATCGCCACCGAAAGTGGCGATGAGCCGAGAGGAAGCAGAGGAGGAAGAGGAGAGGAAGCAGGCTCTTTCAGTGGCCATTGCGAGTACTGCAGCGGCCGAAGCGGCGGTTGCAGCCGCCAAGGCTGCTGTTGAGGTTGTTTGGCTCACAGGGACCCCTCAATCTCAGCATCAAGAGGCTGCACAAGAAGCCTTTAAACCTCTCAAGAAGGCCCCTCCATATGATCTCCATAAACGTGAAAGGGAAATCCATGAATTTGCTGCTATTACTATCCAAACTGCTTTCCGTGGCTTCCTTGTGAGTACTTCTTTCTGACTGTACTTCTCTCTCTTTCTTCAATGGAACTAGAATGGAAAATGTTGAAACCAAATTGGTACTGTCCGAGTTAAAAAGTATAACCCATGAAGCAGGACTTGAAATCTTGTACTCAAAATTTTTCTTGTTAAGGAATTGAAATTTCATTTAGAAAAACAAATATTCAAGAAAATTGTCATTTGTTTACTAATTTTTTGGATGAAGATGAGACTTATGAGCAAAAAACAACAAAAATGACAATTTTATTAACATTTCTGGAAAGTTAGAAACACAAGAGAGAGAATACTGAAACTTCTTCCTTCCACAAAGTTTGGTAATGTTTCTACAAGAGAGAGAATACTGAAACTTCTTCCTTCCACAAAGTTTGGTAATGTTTCTACAAGGATATTAGAGAATGTTACTAAATACACTTATTTTATAAAAATAAAAACGAAACATAAAATATACAACACGAGAACAAATATTCCTTAGTCCTAGACATAAGAAAGTCCTAGCTTGTGTATATGCTTACAAGTCTCGACTCTCTAACCCTGTCTACCGAAAGAAAAATTATTAAATGTGGGTGTCACAATATGACTACCTCATAATAATAGTTGGACGAAATATATATGCCTCCTAATATTTTTTGGATGCAGGTTCAAAATATATTTCGTAACAGGTGTATAACTATCAGCCACATTGTTTCAACCTCTAATCATTTCTCCTGCTAGGGTGATATTGTTATTATTAAGCAAAGAATATAAATTTGAATTTGCAGGCAAGGAAAGCATTGCGAGCACTGAAAGGAATAGTGAGGCTTCAGGCAATTATCAGAGGGAGAGCTGTTAGGCGCCAAGCCATTGCCACCTTGAAGTGCTTGCAGTCCATCGTTAGCATACAATCTCAAGTCTGTTCAAATCGACTCCATCCTTCTCAAAACACATTCCATTCTCCTGAAACCAGACAGTTGCAGAGCTTGAAAGATAGGATTTTAAAGGTATGCCAATGGCCCAATTAAAAGTATAGCTGTATTCATTACTCTGTTAAACTACTGGTTGGTTTGATGATATTATTCACATTGTCTATAGTTATTTGTTTTTATGATTTTCTTCGTCATCTATTTTTCAATCTCGGATAACAGATCTCTTATTTCTTACTTTTACAATAGTATCATATTGTCTACTTTGGACTTAAAAAACTAATTTTATTTTCGTACTCTTCCCTAAAGGCTTACATGAAAGGAAGAATTATCCTTACATATCTACCAAAGTTCTTTCCTGTTTTATCTCAAGTAGGATTGTGTTTGTATCCAAGACTACTTGTACCAATGAAGATGTGTTTATGTATTCGCCTAAGATCTTCTCCATTTCTTCTCATGTTGTATCGATGATAGACTATGTTCACGTCTAAAATACTTCTCCACTCGAATAAAGTAGCACCAAACTCATCTTAAATAATTGTTCATTCGTCTCTACCGCATCGAGAGCTTGCTCTTATTTAGGCTGAATCCTCTTCCCCAGAACGTACTGGACTTGAACTGAACAAGGCACCAATTTTTGTTGCACCTTAACAACATCCTGCATCAATATACACAATAGCTGTTTATTCATTTGATATATTTTCTTTCTTATTCAATTCTGCCCTTCCCCATTGGTTTTGCAGTTGGATTCGGACGGTCAAAGGTGGGATGATAGCCTATTATCAAAAGAAGAGGCGGATGCCGTGTTCTTGAGTAGGAAAGAAGCAGTGATCAGGCGAGAGCGAGTCAAGGAATACTTGTTCGCCCACAGGGTAAAATAATCAGCCTTCTCAAACAAAAACTCTGTTTCTTAACTTCCCGAGTCAAATTTCTCATTCTCCACATTTTGCAGAGATCTGCAGAATCAGAACGAAAGAAGGTAAGAGGAAGATGGAGATACTGGCTAGACCAATGGGTCGATACCCAACTCTCCAAAAGCAAAGAACTCGAAGATTTGGACTCCATTTTCACCTCAAACCCAAAACACAAAGAAACAGACGGATTCAGCGCAAACCCAACAAAAAACACGGATCATCGAGCCACAGAACTCCCCAACCAATCTCCATCCCCAAAACCAGTTCTGAGAAAACTCTCTCACCACAAGAAGCAGCATTCACTGGGGGGCGGCGTGGACTTAAACAACTCATTTTCAAGCTCCCCGCTCGCGCCCACTTACATGGCCGCCACAGAATCTGCAAAGGCAAAGGCCAGGTCCCTGAGCTCGCCGAAGCTAAGGCCGGCGGGGGGTTTGGACACGTGCTCCGATGGAAACTCGCCGTGCAAGACGAAGCAGCTGTGTTTGGTGTCTTCAACGGCGAGTGAAGTGGCGATTGGCGGCGGCAGAAGGGGGTTCCAGTTCCAGCAGCAGCAGCGGTCGCCGGGTCTAAAAGGGCTTCCGGGGCCTACGAGATCGAGCAGAACTCTCAAGGATTTGAGCATTGATTCGGAGCATTCATTGCCAAATTGGGATGGACGAAGTTCCTTCCAATGATCTTTTTTTTTTCTCTTTCTTTTTTTGGCATATTTATGAAATGCTTACAGAAACAGTTTGTGGTGTTGTGCTCATATATATCTAATAAAAATGTGCTCTCTCTGTTTGTAGGTAGGTGTGTGAATATATTTCGATTTGTTTACGTTGGGTTTGTAAAGTGAATGCAAACAAAGTTTCATATTGACTAGGAAAGAGTATGATCCATGATAAAGTGAATGCAAACAAAGTTTCATATTAACTAGGGAAGAACATGATCATGATATATAGATGATAACAATTATCTCTATTGGTATAAAGTCTTTTGAGTGAAACAAAAACACTACAAGAGATACTTGGCATAAGAGGAGTACCATTGTCTTAACGGTTTGTTTAGTCTCAATTTTGTAAGTGGTTAGAATTTTTAATTTGAGTTATAGGATTTAGTCAAATTTCATAAATGGCTTATACTATTACAAGTTATTGTCAAATTGAATATTTGGCACATCAAGAACAGTAATTCACGTTAAATAAATGATTGGTAGAGCAAGTTGAAGAAAAGCTTATTAACAGACACCATTATTTACCTTTTAAAGTACTTTTGTGAACATTACATCTTTGAAAAAGGTAAAAGAGACACAAATTTTCCAAAAATCGATCGCAACACTTCAAGCATATTGGACAACATGTAAATAAAGACCTATAGGACCAACTAAAACTCCAAGAATTGGCTCAAGGTACTCAAGGAAGGTATGCATTTACCTCTTAAAAACTAAAAAGGACCCAGCCTTGAATAACTTTAAAGAAAGGAAGGCTAAGTTAATGAATCATGTGAGGAAAAATATTAGGTACCTTGAAATTAATTGGTCTTGAATTCTATCGAACATAATGTTCAGTAAGTACTGTGCATAAAATAGAATAACCAAATACGAGACAGTACTAGAAAACTCTATAATAAAACGAAGTAGTTGAGTGTTTAAATAGAGTCATAATAGAGAGAGTAAGGTACAACTTTGATGCAAAATTAGAGAAAATGACAGTCACTTTTAAATGGCCACAAATTAGAGACACTTATTCTTAGAGCTTTTAGAAAAATTTCTACGTGTTTCATAAGGTGTAAGTGACCACAAATTAGAATTAAGAAAAAATAAAAATAAAAAAAATAAAAAGTACACCCGTATAGAGTAGGCAAGCTATACAAAAAACAGGTAGGTCGGAGAAAAAAAATTGATTTGAAACATATTTTATTCACCCATCCATCAACTTTTTTTTTTGCTTGCCTACTCTTATGTTATCTAGTTGTCATACTCGTTTGTATCACGTCCAAATGATTATTTAATCATATGATTAAGATGTCACATCAATATTTAAATAATACTATTAAATTTATAGGTTTATTAAGTTTAAATATTATTTTAGTTTTATTAGAAAGAAAAAAAAAATTTATTTTAGCTTTCCTACTTTTAACTTTGTTTCATTTTAATCTTCATATTTTTCAAAATATCCATTTGAATAATATATCTTTTATTTTTGTTTATGTAGTAATCATTTTGATTTATTTACACAAAATTTTATATATAATAGAAACTCTTTAATATAAACCTATCGGTACATTTCAAGAAAATCTATTAATTATATTGTCATATTGCCATGGTAATATATATATATATATAAAGAAATAGAAAGCAAATAAAAGGACCATCAATCCCATTTTAGAAGTACATAAATCAAAATGGAGGTTTGGAAAGTATAATAATTAAAAAAAAAAAACTAATAGTATCGAAACAAAAATGAAGAATAGATGAACCAAAACAGTATTTAAATCACTAGTTAAAATCAAATTTGAAAGTACATAAATGTAATTAAAATGTTTGAAAGTTTACGAACAAAATAGATACATGGTTAAAATTAGAGTATTAAATTTTCATCATCACATCGACATTTTCATATGTCTATGCATTCCACATCAACACAAAAGATGAATCGATATTTCCATTGTATCATAAAAAAAATCGTTAAAGTATTATAAAATATCATTAATATATACGCAATACCAAAACAAAAAAACTTTAAACTTATTTAAAAAAGATAAAATGCTTAGGGCTTAATTTAAATATTTTTTTCCAAGGTTCATAAAACTCCCGTAAAATTAGATTTTAATATACATGTTAGGGGTGGAGTTAAAATTACCGTGCTGTCCTCACTTTGGCCTGATTTTAATATTTTTATGGATACCAACATTTAAGTTTAATAAAAATTTAAGGGGCCCGCTGATGCCACCTGGCACGGCGCAGTTAAATCTAACTTATCTTATATATTTAAGCGCCGCCCCAATAATTTAAATCCTTTTGAAGACCGAACCTCAAAAATATCTTCGCACCACCTAATCCAGCCGTCCGATGAAGACACCTTACCACCATCTGTCCGTTGATTCGGTCACGCTTTTAAGAAAAGCCGTTAAAGAGTCATCTCCGAACCTCAGCTTCGGCATTCCCTAACCTACTGCTTCGTTTCTTCTATCTCACCATTTTGTTGATCACTCGCTTCTTAAGCTACTGCTTCAGTTCTACTCCAAAAAGATTTCGTCTCTTTTTAGTCACGGTAACGAGAACGATTCTTTTTCTATTTTTGATGATTCTATTTCTGTTTTCGTTCTGGTGTTTTAGTTTGTGTATGCTGGTCTGTGAAGTTTTTGTTGGAAATTTGAAGTTTGAATGATGCAATTATTGTGCTAATACGTGCGATGAAACGTTTTGATTTGTAATTTGCAGTTGGAGGAGTGGCGATATTTCGATCATTATAATTTGTGTTATAGAATAATTAATGGATATGGATTAGGTTCCTCGGATCAAATTAATTTTAAGAGAATCATGAGCTAATTTAACTCATTAGGAACCGAAGTAACTCAAAAGGTTTATAAACTCTGTCCAATCGAATCCCTTCGGATTGGGTTGGGTTGTGTAGTTTGGATTTGAGAAACACAATAATAAATTGATTTACAAATATGATGAGAATTTCCATTCTGTATTTTGAAGTTGATGTATTGATTACGTTAAGAACTTATTATGCCACGATTTATGCATTTTCTCAAGCTTAGAGTTACATTTTAGAGACAGGATTCTAGTTGTTTTCTGCTTTATTTCAGTAGACAGATTGTAATATCCCACTTTAGTCTAGTTCAGCGGGTTTCTCATAATGTATTGCATATCCAAAATTTCCAGGTTTGTTGGTCTGTTGAGGCTTCTAGAGCTGCTGCTTGGTTTAAAGAATTGGATGATCTAGAGTAAGGATGAAATTATTGTCTGGAAGAAGTTTTTCACTGAACCCCAATGCCCCAATCTTCATTCCTTTCACTCTTCGGAATGTGGAGGATTTCTCTCCAGAATGGTGGGAACTAGTCAAGACATCGCCATGGTTCCGGGATTATTGGCTGAGCCAACATCAAGAAGATGATTTCAACAACACTATTGACGATGATTTAGGCGATGTGGAAGAGTTCCTTGATCTGGAAGAAGCAGAGTTTGAGGATATGATTCAATCAATTGAAGCTGATGAGAAGCCCGAAAAGGTGGACCAAATGGTGCTGAAGAATCACATAAAAGGTGTTCCTTTAGTCTTGTCTTATAACATTACAAAAGGAGTACAAATCGAGTAGGCAGACGCAGACCTGACCTTCATATCGGACTTTGATATCTGCAGGTTCTGAAATGGATGCTAAAAAAGTATTGAAGGACCTAGCCATTCCAAAATCTCCAAAGAATAGAGGTCCAAAGTCCCCAGTTGGTCCTTCAAAGTACAATGTGAAGCCAGCCAAGTGCATCGGCCCAAGGCGTGCTCCAAAATTTATTCACCAGCCTCGTTGAAAGAGATGCAAACTGGATATCAGATTGCAGTTGCAGCGAGCCCGCATATGGCATGAGTACAATCGTCGCGAACCCGATACGGGTAATGTAAGTTTCACTAAATGATGGTTTTTCTTTTTATACTAGGAGTCATTCACCAGCCTCGTTGAAAGTGATGCAAACTAGATATCGGATTGCAGCTGCAGCGAGCACACGGAATGAGTAGAATCGTTTTATCACACGGGTCTTGTAAGTTGAGTTTGTTTTAGTAGGTGAGAATTGAAATGGCCTTCACATAAGTTTTTCATCAAATCACTTTTGCTTTTGTGTATATATGATGAGATCACAAGTCATATGTAAAATTATGTATCAATTGTCACAGTCTTGTTGTCCATCTGTATAGATTATGAGTACTTTCTGGTCCTCTGTTTTCAAAACTTACCATTATATCATTCTCAGTAAGAGCTGCCTCTGTTAATGGGTTGTTTCATGTTCCTTTTTTCTTGACTTCAATTTAAATTGACCACTTACTCTAAGTAGGTTTATCATAGTATATTCTTCATGGTTCTGATGGAATTCCCATAGATCCAAACGAGATAAAAGAGGAGGTTCTTCATAGTTCTGATGGAATTCTCATAGATACAATCATCCAAACAAGATAAAAGAGGAGGTTCTTACTTTAGAAGTTCGTATTACGTTAGATTATGATTCTATTTAGTTCCTATCATTGCTACCGTTAACTAAATTACTAAATTGTTATATCAATTTTGGTTGAGTTAGCATGATAGGACGAATGGTTAAATAGACTAATATACCTGCTACGTCTGCATTCTCTCTTTTTCCTCAGAAGAAAATAGGACCAAAGTGGTTAGTGTTTTAAATATTACTTTGTTGTTGTATTTATTTATTATTATTATTATTTTTTTTGATAATTGGGAGTCGGAGCTGTGCTCCCTGTATGTAGGAGACGTCAAAGATTTTTGATATTAAGCTTGTTATAAGGTTCGAACTTGAGATCTATAAGCTAGTATGACCAAGAGACCTTAAGTTCTTGCCAATTAGGCCCTTGTTTTCTCTTTATATGTTCGACCCTGGTTTATTTTGGTCTCTATGTTTTCGACTTTGGTTCATTTTGGTTCCTGAACTTTTAAAATATTCATTTTAGTCTTTGTAATTTTAACTCTTTGTTCATTTTTTTTTTACTTTCAAGACATTTATTTGATATTTGTACTTTTAAAAAATGGTTATTTTGGTCGATTCATTTGAATTTTTATTTAATTTCTTTCAATCATAATTTCCACACTGACAATTCACTCACTAAGTTTCTTGAAATGTAGGCATAAATTTGTATTAAAGAGTTTTCATTGTGTATAAAATTTGTGTTAAAATTTTGCAGATAGAGATCAAATTGACCACTTTTTAAAAGTACAAAAGACCAAAGTAGACGTTCCGAGAGTAGAATGACTAAAATGAACAAAGTTTAAACAAAGTGAATCAAAATCGGGGAATAAAATAGTATTTAAGCCCTAATAATATTAGTTAAATGAATAAGATTCACATCACTCACCCAAATGAAACTATAAGATCATAACTCATGTTCTTATATTTAGGTTATATAATTTTATTTCCTTGCAAGTACAAGTACAATTACAAGTTTTGAGGTAGAAGCCATTTCATTAAAGCTTAAGCTACAACCCATTTTCTTACTCTTTCTCTACTCTTCCAATTAGCAGCTGCTTCATGGAACTGTATAGCCTGCATACAACATCATTGAATTGAAACCATCAATAACTGAAACATATATATTTATTTCTCTTGTGCTCAAAATCTTTGAAAGAAATCAAAAACTAAACCATTTTTTTTCCCTTACTTCCACACTTGCTTCCATGGGGAATTGGGTTCCCACAAAAGTCTGCAACATGAACCACCTTGCTCATGTCTAGAACCCTCTCCGCCTCCGCCGTCATATGTTGGCACATGCACCTAACATCCGCCGTGCTCACGGCGTTGCAACACGCTGGAGACGGGTCTTCCTCCGGTGCCCCTATTTGGGCAACGTTGCCGCAACGAGCAACCATATCTTCCATATTGCCCTTGCACTGCCCGTAGACAGTGATATTGTCTTTGCTAGATAATAACATTCCGAGCACTGCGATCGCAGCGAAAGCCTTGAAAGTCTTGATCAAAATGGCCATCGTTGAACTAACTCGACTCAATTCAACTCAACCTTTTCTCTCTTTGATTTGGAGTAGTACTTCTCTACTATGTATATATAGAAAGTCTATATGGTAGAATTAATAGTTTGATAGTTTGGAGTTGAGAAAAATGCTGATTTTGGGAGGTTACATGTTGTTGGCATTTTGCCCTTTAAATTTGGGATCATTTAATTTATTAAAGCGGTGGATTTTGATCCCTTTCACTTATTTATTATTTGGTTGTTTGTGTGAAAGAATTAGGAAAAATAGAGTTCTCAAA